ATTTTAGTTATACACTAGTCCACATACGTTCAATTTCATTGATCGCTTTGAGAGTTAAGATACAAAGATATGTGCACTAAATCCTCCGAGCCCTCTGTGGTACATTCACAAGAGTTTATTTTATTTCAAAGCTGTTCTGAGATGCGATGAAAAAACTGACGACAATGTTTTGATAAACTTGATTTAAGGTGGAACGTTTTATATAATATTTCTTTCATTAAATAATGGTGTTAAAGATTGAAAGAGACGTAGAATGATGTAGAACTGTTCAAATTCGGTGACGAGGAACCCACTTTGAGACAAATAATGGCTGAAGACGGCTTGAATGGATCATGAAGAAAAACTTTAATATAACTGTTGCTTCATTTTTATTGTTTTTTACATGAAATTGACCTTTTTTAAAAATATAATCCTACAATTCCTTCGGTCCAGTTGGTTACAATGTCCATTAGTAACTATCTATGGAATATTTAATGGTACTCTGGCTTAGAATAATTATTAGTCTAGTGGTGTAGAACGTCCAGTGGGGTACTTTGATAGTAATAGTAAGACTGTCAGTTTACGGGTTGAAAATATATGTTCATTAATTGTCTAGAAGTATTAAGTGGTGTACTTGTATATCGGAATACTTGTATAAATTGTTTATTGTAAATAATACCCAACTGTTTATTGTTATAGGATGTGCTGTGGTATAGAGTACCCAGGTGTTTACAAACAAGTACAACTCTACTAAGCATGCTTATTGTTATAGGGTGTGCTGTGGTAAAGAGTACCCAGCCGTTTACAGACAAGTACATATGTACTAGACATGTTTATTGTTATAGGATGTACAGTGGTATAGAATACCTAGGTGTTTACAGACAAGTACAACTCTACTAGGCATGTATTTTGTTATAGGATGTTATAGAATACCCAGGTGTTTACAGACAAGTACAACTCTACTAGACAAATTATATTATGACTTCTCTCCAGTCTAGATTAAGATGGTTCTACAGGATTATCGAGATTAGATAAAGGTAACTCTGTCAGCGTATCAAGATAAGATTAAGATCGTTTTAAGTAGAAAGATTAGAATAAAATAATTTCTCAAAAATCCTGAGACTAAATTGATATAGACGCCGGATTAGTGAAATATGTAAATATACACCTATTAAAAACGTTATCATTATTTTATTCCAATACAAATGTCTTGCTAAAACGAGATTATATTAAGCACTAAAGATAAAAATTTCATATAATAATTATCTGCCTAGAAATGTACAGCAAAAATATTCATTTCGCTTTTTAGTTCTACATTTTTTAAACAAAATCGTTAACAAGTTATGATACAAACAGCGTCCCAACCACCAATACGACTTTTGTTGTTGTTGTTTGTTTGTTGTTAGATACAACTTCTGCCCACTGCAGGTATTGAAACCTGATTTTTCGCGGTATAAGCCCTTAGACTTATCGCTGAATTATCGAGTCAGTCTGGTGTTACTTGCTTTTAAGTATCACTGAAGGGCGTCTTTGAGCACCTTCAATATTGATTCTCTGATAGAGTCAACACCTTTTTTTTTAAAGGGTTACTTACTTTTAAGTATCACTGAAGGGCGTCTTTGAGCACCTTCAATATTGATTCTCTGATAGAGTCAACACCTTTTTTTTAAAGGGTTACTTGCTTTTAAGTATCACTGAAGGGCGTCTTTGAGCACCTTCAATATTGATTCTCTGATAGAGTCAACACCTTTTTTTTTAAAGGGTTACTTACTTTTAAGTATTACTGAAGGTCGTCTTTGCATAAAAATGTTTATAATTTAGTGAGTGTTTGGTTGAACGTTGTAATTAAGTCACAAGCGAAGCTGAACGTTTTTTTTAAATGCCAGTCTAATAGCTGTATAAATTTGCCGAAAGGTGTGGGGGGAAGGTAGTTCTGGCATTTGCCCAAGCGGTGAATACAATTAAGCTAAGTAAAGTGTCGGCTTGAACAAAATATTACTGGCAATCAAAAGTTTATTTAAAAACGAATCAGGTTTGATATGCATTCTCATCTGAGCATCATCAATCACTTTTTATATTTGAAAACTCAGTTTACTTTATAAAAATTGTTTTTTGTTGTTGTTTCAAATGACATGTATATTGTCCCACCGACGAATTGTACTTTTTGTATCAATGGAATATTTCGGGTATTTTCAAAACCAAACAAAATTTGAAGGAACACTAGATGTTTTAATTGACTGTTTGGGGCCGCGGGTTTGAATCCCGTGACCGTACATGTTCGCCTTTTCAGTCTTGGGGGCGTTACAATGGAACGGTCAATCCCAATTTTCGTTGGTAAAGATTAGTCCAAGAGTTGACGGTGGTTGGTGTTAACTAGCTGCTTTCCCCTAGTCTATCACTTCTAAATTAGGGATGGTTAGCTCAGATAGCCTTTGAGTGTCTTTGCGTGAAATTCAACCAACAAACAAATAAACAAAATCAAACAGAAACTGTCGTATGAGCGTGTGTTTTCAAGCTTTCCTCTGTAATGGATTAAGAACCGAAAACGCCGCTAGCAGCGAGGGTAGTCAACTGGTGAAATAGGTAAAAGTGATTCTAGAAGCTTATTGTAGTATTGTAACTGTTTTGTGGAGTTTGGGCAGCTTTTCTGGTAGAAGTTATCTACAGAATTCTACACAAAACTATTACATATATATGTGAGTTTTTATAAATTCTGGAATGCGATTTTCTGAGTTCATTTAAGGGTTATTCAACCTTCAAAGGCAATTGCAATTATAAAAAATCCCTCTATTTTAACACATATACGAATACGTGGTGTACGTGTTGAATTGTAATTCTATTCTGATAATTGCATAGCATCTCCTGACAAAATGTTTAACATGTTAAGTTTAAACCACTCACGTTATTACAAAAGTTATGCCCCTCTAAAAAGCTACAATTTATAAGTACATAGTTTACACATTGTGTACAATTTATTAATAGATATTTTACACATTGTGTATAATTTATTAATACATATTTTACACATTGTGTATAATTTATTAATACATATTTTACACATCGTGTACAGTTTATTAATAGATATTTTACACATTGTGTATAATCTATTAATACATATGTTATGCCCTCCAGTGGCACAGTGGTACGTCTGCAGCCTTACAATGCTAGAAATTGGTTTTCGATAACCGTGGTGGGCAGAACACAGATAGCTCTTGGTGTAGCTTTGTGCTCCACTACAAACATACATATTTTACACATTGTGTACAATTTTATTAATACATATTTTACACATCGTAAACAGTTTATTATTACATGTTTTACACAACGTGTACAATCTATTAATACATATTTTGCATATTGTGTTATGGCACAAACTGTTTTATCTTGTATAAACCTTCTATGTCAGCTTTAAGTGGAGCGTGGCTTTTGGTTAGCGAGGGTCCAAGGTTCGCGTCCTATTGCCGCAAGATCACGCTCCGTACTTTGGGACCGTTGTAACAGTGTCTATCAAATCCCACCATTCGATTAGAGTAGCGCCAAAGTTGTGTCATAAGGTATTTCACGACCTAAAATATTTTATTAGGTATAAAAATATGTTGCATGTTTTATTTTCCAATTTAATAAATTTTAGCTTCTGTCCCCCTTCCATAAAATGCGAATGACATGTAAATTTAAACAAATGTTGACCGCAGTTTATAGCAAATAATTTCTTACAATTTTTCTTCTACTTAGTCACATTTAAACTATGTATTTCGTGAGTCAGTATGGTTTGTTTGATTGTTTTAGAACAAAGTCACATTGGGCTACCTGTTGTGGCCACTGCGGGGAATCTAACCCAGGATTGTAGCGTTGTAAGTCTGTAGACTTACCGTTATCTCATCTGGGGAGGAGTCATTTCTCTTTTTTTAGGAAGAAGGTTATTTTAGAAAACAATACTTAAAACTCATATACTTGTCAACTGTTGAATACGTTAATACGTTAAATTATACCACGTGTAAGCTTAATCTATGTTTTTCATTTGTTTAAACATATAAATGACCATCTATATATATATATATATATAAAGCCCAAAAAATCTGTGTGTCTGTCTGTTTGTCCTTTATCTAACTACTCCTAGATCACTGGGTCAATCTCAACCAAACTTTGTGGGATGATAGTCTGGAACAAGTGGCATGTTAATGGGGGTTCAAACCCCCCCACCCCCATTATTAATGTTATTGAGCATTTATTATCTTTGACGTAAGTTAACGTTAACAATATTCATATATAGCGCCACGTTCTCACATCAAACAAAGAAAACGTTATTAAATTTTCCGTCCACCGGCGAGACAGCAGTAAGTCTTAGGATTTACAACGCTAAAATAAGGTTCGATTCCTCTCGGTGGACACAACTGATAGTTCGATGTGGCTTTGCTATAAGAAAACACACACACACACACATTAAGTTTCCTATAATAATATACACACAGTGGGGGAGCAAACAAACATCTTATATATCTCAGAGAGTGTGCTAGCACTCTCTATGGAGGAATGCAATGAAAAAAATGGCCACCACTACTGCGATAATACATAAACTCAGATGAAGTCGATACGACAACAGCTACCATAACGCTGATATGAATAGCCATTTCTTGAGTTATACTCACTTTCTACTTTGACCCGTGACATTACAACTTCATTCCATAAGACACTCCTGCGGCCAATAACCCTCAATTAATTAATAAGCAGTCTTATTAGGAGTAATCAGCTGTCCACGTGGTTCTAGACCTGCACCCGGAGGAGTCATGCTAGAGGGAAAACCATGGTCAGAAGAAGCTCACAGATTTACCAAGGAATTGTGTCATCAAAGAAAAGATTAAATTGAAGTTGAAACCATGGACAAAGCTGGAAACTTTATTGGGTCGTTGTGGATTGATAATACTAATTTGTCTATGGCATTAGTTCAAGAAGGACTAGCCTCTGTCCACTTTACTGCTGAGCGTAGTCAGCATTACAATGCACTTAAGATAATGCTGCCAAAGCAAGAGGAGTAAGATTTTGACAGTATTTGAAGAAACAAAAGAGGAGGAGGAGGAGAAAAAGGAAGATAACGTTGAGAGGAAGATCAACTACAGATCTATCATCATCACTGAAGTCCGACCAAATCTCACTTTCTATGCGCAACATGTGGATGAAGGTACACGATTCGAAGAAATGATGGCCAAGCTGCGAGAAGAGTTGGCTTCTAACCCTCCCCTTCCTGGTTCTTTTACACCCAAGAAAGGTGTTCTGTGTGCTTCCATGTTTGTGGACGAGCTCGTGTAGAGAAAGTGGCTGGAAACATTGTTAATGTCTTTTATATAGACTTTGGAAACAGAGAAGTGACAGACCCTACAATATGCTTCCCTCAGCATATCAAGGTGTTTATCCTGCAGCACATGATTATGGACTAGCCTGTGTCACTATGCCAGAAGATTCAGAACTTTTAGACGAGACACGAAATGCTCTATTTCAAGACACAGATAACCGGGTCCTGTTGCTAAATTCAGAATACAGAGTTGGTGGTATTGAGTATGTAACACTGTACACATCAGAGGAGAAACAAGACATTCTGAAAAACCTCATATTTGAAGGGTTGTTGATGGTTGAAAGCAGAAAGGAGAAGAGGTTACAGAAAGTTATCACAGAGTACAAAAATTCTGAAGAAACAGCACGGCGACAAAGATTGAACTTGTGGTGCTACGGTGACTTCACAGAAGATAATGCCAAAGAATTTGGTGTGTAAGCAGCACCTTAGACTTCAGACTTGCCTCGTTTTGAAAGTTAGTTGGCGAACAGGAGTAAGGGCAGTTGTTTTTTGTGACCATTTATTATTATTTTTTTCTACATTAGTTTCTGGAAGTTATGATTTAACATTAGACTGGCTTTTATTTTTTTTATGGTTGCTTCTTCTCTGGATGTTTTAATTTATTTTACTGTAATAATATGTTATGTTGCAAATAAATTGTGTGAAAGTTAGGATTTTTGTATTATGTATCGTAGCACCCACCCATATTTTTTTAAGTTCATAACCCGGACAAAGAATGGGAACTTCAGCTTGTATCATTGCATAACGTTCATGTATCGTAGCATCCACCCATATGTTTTTAAGTTCATAATTCGAACAAAGAATGGGGACTTCAGCTTGTATCATTGCATAACGTTCATGTATCGTAGCATCCACTCATATGTTTTTAAGTTCATAACCCGGACAAAGAATGGGGACTTCAGCTTGTATCATTGCGTAACGTTCATTCCGTGTTTGTTTTTGCAGTAAAAAATAGTGCTACTTAGAAGCTCAAAAGCTTAAATATATTCTATCTATAAAACCTTTCAACCGTCCATTAAAACGTATTCATAGGAACATAAAAAAATGGATAGTTACTTCTAAGGAAATAATGCAGAGCCACCAGATCCCTGCTCTGAGCTTTCGGTATACTTATAAATCTATTAACTCTGAAGTCTGCCCTGAACTTGCATTTTATTACCCTAATAAGACTAAACAGACTCAAGGAAACGACTTTATTTGTGGCAGGGTACAAATTAAGATCGTGCAATTTGTAATACGAAATTGGATTAAAGTATAGCCAAATGAAAGCTTTATAGTCATATATATTTATACGACTCTGAACTTTACCATAATGCATCGCATGTTCCTATAGATAAACAAGAATTGGAACTTCACTTTCTCGATAAGTGTGCGCACGTGCACCGCATGCTTTATTTATTACAATATGATCCTCCCACCAATTCCCATCACCCATTAGTACGATTCAAATCTCCAGGACTGGGATAACTCACAATCAACTTATGTTGGCATACTTTTCTCTCATTATTTTCAAAAAAGCAACAAACCACTCACTAGGATGGTCTTACTCGTGCTATTATAAGTTGATGTCAAATGGAAAAACAAATCAAGTTAAAATGACTAAATTATGCCAAAAAAACAAACAAACAACCACAACAAGCAAACATAGGACGCAAGGTTTACATATTTTACATTACACTGCATATAATTTAAAGATTGTTTTTTTTGTTTGTTTGTTTGTTTTTAATTATGCACAAAGCTACACAAGGGCTATCTGTGCTCTGCCCACCACGGGTATCGAAAACCGGTTTCTAGAGTTGTAAGTCCGCAGACATATCGCTGTGCCACTGGAGGGCTAATTTAAAGATAACACGGAACCTGTCGGACCATCTAGGCCGTCCCATTCACTAATCTAAACTTTAAAATGAAAATAAAACACTCAAATTCACCCCTCATAATTCAAATGTTTATCAAGCCTTCCATTAATTAAACTCCCTTGAATTAATTGCATATTCTAAACCTGAAGGCAACCCATTACAAAGACCAACTAAACTATTAGAAAAATAAAGCTGTCTTAGCTGAAGATGACCCTTACCCTGAAGGCAACCCATTACAAAGAACAACTAAGCTATTAGAAAAATAAAGCTGTCTTAGCTAAAGATGACCCTTACCCTACCAAAATTTATATATTTGTGTCCCCCTATCCCTGCCGTTCTCTCACCATTAAGTACGAAAATTGACGATGTAACAACACTATCAATTTCCTTGACATTTCTAAACAATCGAAATATCCCCCTGTCTTAAAAAAAAGTAACTAGTTAGGGTCCCTTTGAAGGTAAGTTTTCTGTTAGGAGTCTGTTTTAGAATATAGCAAAACGTTTAGTCATGCATGTATAGTTTTGCTTTCTAATTTGCTGTTTTACTATTGACGTCACGAAATGCGAGTTATTGCGCTTCGATAAACTCTATAAATGTTACGAGTATGAATATATATATCCAATTGTATAATGCGCACATTTATGTTGTGTTTGCATGCTATTTAACTATTAAATATACAATTATACCATTTATTAGCATCTTCGTATTCTGCCGTTAATATTTTGTACTCATAGTTTAAAACTAATGTATCTTCATAATTGTAAGTAATTTCTCTCGGCATGGTGGGTTGAGGATAGTTTTTTCTCTCTCTCTTTAGAATTGGATAACAGACTTACTAATATAACTTAGCTCGACTGAAGGATTAAAAGTACATCATTTTATTATTTACTTCTTCCTGTTTTTATCTGTATTTTTTGCTATATTTTGATTCGTTTTATTGGATTCTGATATTTGCTATTTTTAACTTGAATGACAACTTATGCACACATGGGCTGAGCTACACCTTATGTACATATGGACTGAACTGCACCTCATGCGCAGATGGACTTTTCTGTTTATCTGTAGTTAAGCACAAAGCTACACAAAGAGCTCTCAGTGCTCTGCCTATCACGGGTATCGAAACCCAGTTTTTAGCATAGTAAGTCCGTAAACATACCGCTGAGGCACTGGGAGCCACAGATGGGCTGAATGACAATTTATGCATACATATGCTAAACTGGACTTTATGCGCAGATGGGCTGGACGGCACTTGATGCGCAAGTTGGGCAAGTTTCCATGTTGTGCTGAAATACAAATTCATCACTTTTCGGGGAAGGATCTAAGAAGTTCTTAATTTCTATTCAATTCTGTTCTATTCTTGTGAAGAGTGAATGATGATAATGAAGAAACTTCACCTATGTTAAAAACATGAAGGACAACATCTGATTAAAAGCGATTTTACAAATATATATCAACCAACCATTTAGCTATATATTTTCATCGAAATTTATAACGAAGATTGCCAAAACATGACAAAGGTCCAAGGCTTGAGTCTCGTTCTCTATCACATCTCTACAACTACAAAAATACCTTAACTCAAAACACCTATCTAATTAGTGGTTAAATTTATCGATTATATTAAAAACAGACACAATTGTTTTTTTACGTCAATATCAATAACAGCTAAAAGTATACTAAATGTTTAATTGTATAGAGATTTCACTTTTGTGAAATCCATATGTGTATTTTTTCAAAGAATAAAATTCCAGTGAAATTAAAGCATTGACATTATTAAGTCAGTTGAAAACTACCGAATGCGTCTCATGGGCCCATTGGATCTTCAGATACCTTAAAATACCTTTTGACAAATATATATGACTTTTACTTGACTCTGGGTTTCCTGCAGTGAAGAAAGAATACAATTTTACTTTATGATACTTAAACAAAAAAAACGATTCAATGCAAAATCTGTACAAAATCAGCGACAGTGATATATATGTTTAAAATTCATGGGGAGTTAATACAAAATCTAAGGATATTCATAAGCTAACAACTTCATATAAGTGATAAAAAAATGGGCTAATTAACCCTATCAAAAAAAACATATTCAAGATAGTGTTGTTTATTAGCCATGATAGAGTAATCGGTGAGGTTTGGTTGTTTGTAATTAAGCACAAAGCTACACAATGGGCTATATGTACTCTGACCACCACGGGTATCGTAACGTGGATTCTAGCGTTGTAAGTCCTCAGTTTAATCGGTAAGGATAATAATTTATTTCTTCTCAAAAACGAATGTTATTTAAAAGTGAAAATAACAAATAAAAGTGTTATAAGACACAGTAACATGTACAAAAATTGAAATAATGTGAACGCTGAAACGTATGTTGTCCTATATTTTGTCTTCCTTTTTAACAAAGATAAACAGTTAAAGTAGTAGTAATGTTAAATAACAGATGGCGCTTTCTCTCTGGCGAGAAACGCTAAATTCACTAAACGATTTACCCCCGTCAACAAACGCATTTGATCTAATTGGTAGTACAGGATGCTAAATCATTAGTAAGAGGAACTCTCTCTGCACAGGACACAGAATTTTGGGACAGATGCTTCAGAGAAAACAAAGGAAAGCTTTTTTCCCTCGCAAGTAATAGTTTTTAGGATAAATAATTTAATGTGTTATATCTGACTTTTCATTTTTTTTAATAGATAAACTGTGAGAACTTTGTTCTCAATCATGTACTTACCAAGCAAAAGAAGAAGAAACAAGACATATTAAATGATGTTGCCCTTTTATTTCTGGGTGATTTTCTCCTTTATCGCGACATTAATTCAAAACCAGTGGTTCGAATATCACTTCGGCAAAAATTCGGGCGATATTAATAATTATATGAACCAAAAGATGGAGCCACATTGTTCATTTTCATCTAGTTAATTTTCTCACTATATTAATTAGCCTTTGTCAGTTGATTCTGTTAACAAAATATATCAATTAATTTAGAATTTGTTTTCGTACACGTGAAATGTCTAATACAAAGAATTTTTAATTAACTTGCCTCAAACCCAACGTGAATTTCTTTTTTATTTATCTGGATAAACGAACTTTGTTGTTGTTGTTTCAATACAAAGTTACGCAATGTACTTGCTGTCTGTGCTCTGTTCACCGAGAGGGATCGAACCTTTGAGATTAGCATTGTAAGTACGTAAACTTACTGCGCTTATCCACCTGGGGAAACAAACATCGTTACTAAAAGAATTAACAAAGTTTTTCTTAACTGGTATTTGATTTGTTTTTGTATTTTAGTTAGTTTCCAAGAACAACAATTTTTTCTTTTCATTTGTTTAATGTATTTATATTTATTTTCATCAGTTATATCTTCGTGAACCAATAGACCTAGCTTCCAAAGTTCGTACCCTATTACTATCCCCCAAAAATCCAATTCCCGAATTCGGTCTGACAAGAATAGCCCAAGAGCTGGTAGTGGGTGGTGTTGACTTTAGTCTATCTCTTCAAAATTATAAAGCTTATAAATACGAGTAAAAAAGATATATAAAATGGAATATTCCAATACTTCCCTCATCTAT